CCCCCTCCCCCCCTGTAATCATTTCCCCAGTCACTGCATGTTCTTCGCCAACCCCAGTTCCAGGGATAGGCTCTGTAACAGCCTCTCTTTTGGACTGGACATCTCTGGGGTCGCTGAGTGAAAGGCTTACGTGAAACCCTCTAGGCCCAGCATGGACATAAGCAGTGCAATTTCACAAAGAGCAGTCCCAGGGGCTCACGCTGCCACCATGCTGCACAGACAGAGGTCGTGTTTGACCTTCACTCCTCGATGAAAGGCTCTGGTCGACGTTAAAGTGCAGCTCTCTCTAGAGACACTGACGTGTTTGACCTTCACTCCTCCACGAAAGGCTCTGGTCGACGTTAAGGTGCAGCTCTCTCTAGAGACACCGACGTGCCGAGCGGCCCACCGTCGGAATCACGGCTTGCACAGGAGCCAAGAGGGAGAAGAAGAGTGGGAGGGTTTCTTATCGTTTTGATATTTCAAACAGCATTACTCCTGGAAGCACAGGAATTAAAACACCATCAGTAGCATTAGGAACGTTTACAAATTCACTGAGCACCTTCGCATTAGATGCTACCAGGAGACCCCTCCTCTCCTCCTAACCACATTCTACACAGCTTGCTTCAGGGGCAGGGATCCAAAGGCTCAGAGAGCTGGGTGGTGCCTGCCTCAAAGTCGGGCCTGGCTGATCAGGAATCTCAACCTGAGTCTGGCTTAAAAAGTTTTGTTTCAGGGCCGGGCGTGGTGGCGCACGCCTGCAATCCCAGCACGCGGGAGGCTGAGGCAGGAGGATCGTTGCGAGTTCAAGACCAGCCTGGGCTACAAAGTGAGCTCAAGGCCAGCCTGAACTACATAGCGAGACCCTGTCTCAAAAAGACCAAAAAAAAAAAATTTTTTTTGTTCCATCAGCCCTACTGCACACCCTCCCTACCATTCACTTAAAGTCATTTTTGAAGCCAGAAGTGGTTGCACACGTTTGTGATCCTAGCACTCTGAGGCTGAGGCAGGAGAATCAGAAGTTTGGTTTTTTTTAGTTTTTTTTCTGGGACCAGCAATCGAACTCACGACCTCATGCTTGCCCGGCAGGCGCTGTACCGCTGAGCTAAATCCCCAGCCCCAGAATCACAAGTTTGAGCCCAGCATGGCCAACTTAGTGAAACCCTGACCCAAAATAAAAACTTAAATGAGTGAAACCTTGACCCAATAAAAACTTAAATGAAGAGGAAAAATAAGAAGGAGAAGGAAGAGACAGAGAAGGAGAAGAGGAGGAGGAGGAAGTGGAAGACGAATTAAGAAGAGGAAGGAGAAGCAGGAGGAGAAGGAAAAGGAGGCTGCTCGAGATGCAGCTCGGTTCGAAGGTGCTGGACTCAATCCCCAGGACTGAAGAAACAATTGTATTGGGGCAAATGCATTTCACCAATGAGGACCCAGGGCTCTCTTCCTGAACTGGGGTAACATGACAGACTCAAGGGGTGAGCTGGATTCTTCTTTAGAAAAGGTGAGTGCCTGCTTGAGGGATTTCGGTACCAAAACGCTGCTTTACAAACCCTCCCGGAACCCGCAGGGAGGGGGACATCTACGGAAGGTCTCTCAGGCTCAGACCCCACCAACCAGGTGCTGGAGTCCGCATGCAGCACACGGCACGCATCAGGTCCCCGGGCCACGGCAGCAGCCAGAGGGATGGATGTGACGACCCCCAGATTCCAGATCCGGGATCTGGACACTGGGGGTGAACTCAGCGCAGCACCCTTACGCCTGGGTTCAAACCCGTTCAGAATCCAGGCCCAGACCGTCAGGCCACGCAGCCGCGCTCAGGCTCCCGCCCGCTGTCCTTATTCTTTCCTCCTCTTCCTTTTTTTTTTTGAGAAAAGCCCTAGGTTCAGCTTCCAGGAAAAAGGCCCGAGCACGCTGCTCAGGGGTGACTGAACTGCGTCTCTGCAGGCAAAGCACCGGGAGATAGAGAGCACTGCTCAGCA